TCATTCAGTTCCTTGATGAAGGGCTTCTTTGGCACTGGGTACCTTGGAACCGGTACTGATCTGTGGCAAGCCAGAAACCAGGCCACGCAAACAAGCAAAACCCCATCTGAGGTATGCAGGTAGCACATGAAACCATACTCCCTTCGATCTGCGGAAAAATCTCTCTCCACGGAACCGGTCCCTGGTGTTCAAAAGGTTGGGGGCTACTGATATATAAGTGTTGTCTTCCAGGAAATTTGATCTGGATTGAAGGTTCAAAAATGGGCACGTGAAAACAAAGGATGCATGCATGAATACAAGATACACATGAGCACCCCTTGCCTGCTTTCAAAAAGTTTTATAAACTTTTTTTCCCTCTAGGATATTTTGGGCAAGTTGTGATGTGGAAATGTACTGTATATTGCTCCTTCAGATTGTTAATATTCTTATATGTTACTTAATTTTGAGAAACCACCCAGTAATTTTTGGAATTGGGGAACCTAGAAACTGCACACAAATAAGCAACTGCACTGCGCACCTATAGTTAACCAAATTGTGGTTTGTACAAGACAATCTTTTGGGTTTGCATGACTCACAGGTCCTTGAGCTGGCACATTAAATTTACCATTCTCTGCAGCCATTTTACGCAACAGGAATTTTGAGAGGGGAGACAGTGTTGTATTCAGATATATTCCCGTAATATTTGGGCGTGAGTATCAATAATCATTGGCCTATTTTCTCTGCTGTGAATATATGCAGACCCCTCACATCCTGGACATAAACTGTTACAACTCCTACTTTCAAAATGACGGCATAGAGCACTGTACACTAGAGCAAGAAACTAGGACAGTTTTTCCCTGAACGCCATCACTCTGCTAAACAAAAAATTCCCTCAACACTGTCCAACTATTTACAAAATCTGCATTACTATTACTATCAATCTTCTTATCCTTCCTTTCACCCATCTCCTCCCACTTATGACTGTATGAATCTGACTTTGTTGCTTGTATCCTTACATTTTTTTATTATTTTATTGACTATTTACTAGTATGATTTGATAGGCCCTAGCTTATTAGTATGTTCCCTAGTATGATTTATAGTACCCTATGACTACTTCTAAGTGTTATACCTCTGATACGTGACATATGTATTTTGAGAGCATATACACCAAAACAAATTCCTTGTGTATCCAATCACACTTGGCCAATAAAGAATTCTATTCTATGTTTTATAGTTAAATTCATACTTTATCAAGAGAAGACAGAAATTAAGTTATCTGCATGGCTTGCAAACCTTCATTTTTTGTTGTCCAATTATTAAACCACAAAAGATTTCCACCTGTAAAGGAGAAATGCTTAAAGGGAAAAAAATAGAGTAGATTAAAATAATTGAGAAGGGGGCCTTTAAAGACATTTCAACCCAATCCTTTGCTTTGTTCAGGTATGCAAACTGAAGCATCCTCAAAATCTTTGCTTCAACCTATCCAGTGAAAAAGAAAATAGTACCTATTGGGTGAATTGGTTCCACTAACACACATTTTAAAAGTTAAATCAGAATGTGCCTTAATATACAAGAGGAAAGCATTCCAGAGTTAGAATACAGGTAGTCCCCGACTTACAGCAGCTTGTTTAGTGACCGTTCAAAGTTACGACACTTTAAAAAGGGACTTATGACTGTTGTAGCATCCCCATGGTCACGTGATTTATATTTGGATGCTTCACAACTGACTCACCTTTATAACGGTTGCCATGTCCTGGTCACGTGATTCCCTTTTGCGACCTTCTGACAAAGTCAATAGGGAACCAGATTCACCTCACAAACGTGGCAAGAAAAGTCGTAAAATGGAGCAAAATTCAATTCAGATTTCTCACTTCACAACCTAAATTTTGGGCTCAATTGTGTGGTTGTATTTTTTTTTAATTTTTTGTGTTTTGTCTTTGTTGCACTTTAACAGGCCTGTGTATTTTTTTTAAAGGGGAAGGACAATTGTCTTAGCCTGAAGTCTTCCCAACTTTGTGCGTCTAAAAAGTTATGATTCTAGATTTACCAGGCGGCAATGCCATCAGCCTGCTCTAGAGGGCATTGACACAAACCTGGCTCTCCAGAAAGCTAGGTAGAAGTACTTTCACTTCTCTTTTTCTTGTCTCCCAAAAGTTGAACAGGTTAGCACAGAGGTCTCCAAACTTGGCAACTTGTAAGACTTGGGGACTTCAACTCCTAGAATTCTCCAGCCAGCAGAGAGTCTTAAAGTTGCCAAGTTTGGGGACTCCTGGGTTAGCATCTCCCTGCTCTTCCATGATATGTCCTCCGACCCTAATGCTGGTCTTGCTTAAAATCGTGGTGCCTTCCTCAACGCTAACAACACAGTGCAAGAAAAAAGGAAGGTGAGGGAAGGCGAAAGTGGGGTTCCCAAAGTTGCTTAACTCCAGGAGCAGCAACCCGTGCTACTCTCCAGAGCAGCAAAAGTGATTGACAGGAGCCGGGTCTGCGTTTGCAAACCTGCTCTACTTCGAAGTAACTTGGTTGAGATGCTACTTCCTTTCCTTACTCCTCCTCCTTTCGGGGTGTTGGTAGATGCCGATCTGGGCCTTTCCCTCGCGGATTACAAAAGTGGCCAGGAGCTCACAGCTTCAAAATTTTGCGGGGTCTAGGGATCCCATTCCTTCATCGGATGGAGGGGAGAAAACTCCGCAGCTGGAGCCTCCTCCTCAAAAACCTAGAATCACTTTGATGGTGCCTTTGAATGTCCCAAAATCCAGTTGCCTCTTGAAAAAAAAACAAAAAAAGCACCTTTGGGACCACACCATGACCTGGATGTCCGAATATCTCCACAGACATTGGTTCCTTTGAATGGACACTAACCGGCATACATTCAAAACGACATTTCCCTTGCATTGCAAACGTGCCCGGAGCAGTGGAAGTTGTCTGCCTTCCAACCGGGCTTCCCCAAACATCGTTGGCGCCCGCATCTCCCCTGGCGTTTGCCCTTAAAAGCAAACCAGTGGAAGCCTTTCCCCACAGATCCTTCCAACGGCCACCGGATCCGGACCCGGACCCGGCACCGACACGAAAACCCGGGAGTTCCTTTTGTTGGAAGGTGTGTGTGTGGGGAAAGGGAGCTTTAAACTCTCGGGGTCCCTCGTTCAGACGTGCTGCTTAACTCGAACGACCCGCTCAGCGCCAGAAGGGGCGCGCGACTGGCTTTCCCACGGCGCGGGGGGGGGGGGAGGCAGGGAGCCCCTCACTCCCACGCGACCTCCCCGATGGAGTCGGGGTTTCCCCCCTCCCTCTCTCAAAGGGATGCGCTCCCTCCGCTCGCTCAAGACACTGCAAAGCCATCTCTCTCTCTCTCTCTCTCTTCCCCCCCACCCCCCCCCCCCCCCGCCCCGCAAGGCCCGGCGGGTTATGAATGGGTGCAGCGGAAGCACCGCCCCCTCCGGACGTGACGCCCAGCCAATCGGCCGGCGGGCTGCGTGGATGGATGAGGTCAGCGCCGTGGTGTCGGGGAATGGAATGTTGGAAGTGTTAACATTCGGAACCGGGGCAACGTTCGGAGATCGAACGCCGCCGCCGCCATCGGGCAACGTCGCCAGCCAGGAGCGGGCGGCGTCCTCCTCCCTCCCTCCCTCCCTCCTTCCCCCCACCTCCTCCTGCTCCTCCTCCTCCTCTTCTTTCTGCCGTCCCTCCCCCCCCCCAACCCGGGCTCGGCTGTGTTTCCCGGGCTTGCGTGGATCGCCGCCGCTCACTGAAATGAATGGCTGAGAGGGGCGGGGGCTAAAAGGAGGCGGTGGAAGTGGAGGAGGAGGAGGAGGCGGCGGCGGCGGCGGCAGGAGCGGCAGCCGCGGCGGCGAAGAAGGAAGGAAGGGAGGAGGAGGAGGAGGAGGATCTTTTCGTTCGCTTCCATCCCCGGGGGCCATAGAGGCAGCGCGAATCGCAGGAAAGCGTGCGGAAGCCCCGGCTCGTCATGCTTTGCAGCCGGTGCTGAACCGCACCGAAAGAAAGAAAGAAAAAAGAAAGAAAAGAGAGAGGAGGAGAAGAAGAAGAGCGAGAGACATGCAGGGATTCGTAAGGTTACGGTGCTGGGGCCGGAAGATGTAAATCCCGGCGGTTGCTCTGTCTCAGCGAGACCAGGCAAGCCCCCGCATCCACAGACTCTTCGCCTGCCGACTTCTTGGAAAAGCCGGGCGCCGGGCTTTAGAAGCGGACGGACCGGCTGGCTTGGCTTTCTTTGGCTCGGCTGGGCTGTCTCCTTCCTCCCTCTCTTCCCCCCCCTCCGCCGGTTGGTGGTTGGTTGGTTTTGTGTTTTTGTGGATGTTTTGCCCGAGTTGAAGTTGCTGCTCGCTCTCTTAAACCACTCCGAGCCCACCCCCCCCGTCCCCTTGTGCGTGTGTTTGTGTGTGGGGTGTGTAACGCGTGTGCAGGCGAGAGAGAGAGAGAGAGAGGAGAGGGCGGGACGGATTTCTCGGTCTGGCAACCCGCAGATTGGACAGCCGGAGCCCGGGACTCGTCGGCTTCTCTTTCTCTCTCTCTCTTTCTTTTTAGGTTCAGAGCCGCCGCTGTCTTTGTCTTCTCTTCTTCCTCTTTGCCTTGCGAGCCAATTCCCAGCCTCTTTTTTTTTCTTTTTCTTTTTTCCTTTGGGGAAAGCCACGCTGGGCGGGCTTCGCTTCTTCTTCTTCTTTTTTTGCCCCGGTTTTCTGGCGCTTGCCTTCTTTCCTCTCCCTTCTTTTCCTTGCCTTTTTAGCCACCCCCCCCCGCATCCCCTCCGCTCCTTCCCCCAGTCCTTCTTTCGTCCCTCCTCTCCCCAACCATCACCACCACCACCCCTTCCTCCCCAGGGCTAGCCCGAAGATGAAAGACCCGAGGGGAGAAAGTTAACGAAATCGCCCACATGCGCTGCATCAGCCCGAGCCTTTGGGAAAGGAAATCCGAGAAGGTGGGAGAAGAGAGTTTAAAGTCTTGGCAGGCGGGAAAATGGCGGACTCAAGCTGAAAGTGTCACTTGGCAAAGTTGGGCGAGCTTTGTGTTCATCCTCGACGAGCCTCTTGACCCAGATAGGACACATGCAGGCCAAAAAACGCTACTTCACCCTCCTCTCGGCTGGCACTTTCGTCGTCCTTCTCTTCTACTTCGGCGGCTTGCAGTTCAGAGCATCCAGAAGCCAAAGCAGGCGAGAGGCGCGCAGTAGCAGCAGCAGCAGCAGCGGCGGCGGCAAGAATGGCTTGCAGCGCCCCGAACGCTACTGGCCCCGGTTCCCAGACGCCCTGCGCCCTTTCCTGCCTTGGGATCAGCTGGAGAGCGAGGATTACAACCGGCACGCTTCCCCTCGCCAGAAGCGCGACGCCAACGCCGGCGTCTACAAGGGCAAGAAGTGCCGCATGGAGTCCTGCTTCGACTTCGCCCTTTGCAAAAAAAACGGCTTCAAGGTCTACGTCTACCCGCAACAGAAAGGGGAGAAGATCGCCGAGAGTTACCAAAACATCCTGGCCGCCATCGAAGGCTCCCGCTTTTATACTTCGGACCCCAGCCAAGCTTGCCTCTTCGTCCTCGGCTTGGACACCTTAGACCGAGACCAGCTTTCCCCTCAGTACGTGCACAACCTGCGCTCCAAAGTGCAGAGCCTCCATTTGTGGAACAACGGGAGGAATCATTTAGTTTTTAACTTATATTCCGGCACCTGGCCTGACTACACCGAGGACGTGGGTTTCGACATTGGCCAGGCCATGTTGGCCAAAGCCAGCATCAGTACGGAAAACTTCCGGCCGAAGTTTGACGTCTCCATCCCTCTTTTTTCTAAGGATCACCCAAGGACAGGAGGAGAGAGAGGCTTCTTGAGGTTTAACACCATCCCCCCTCTGAGGAAATATATGTTGGTGTTCAAGGGGAAAAGGTACCTAACTGGGATAGGATCAGACACCAGGAATGCCTTATATCATGTCCATAATGGGGAAGATGTTGTCCTGTTGACTACCTGCAAGCATGGCAAAGATTGGCAGAAGCACAAGGATTCTCGGTGTGACAGGGACAACGCCGAGTATGAAAAGTAAGTCAAAGCACTTGGCCTCCTCTCTCTCATTGCTTGCCTTCTCATTTGCACACGTGGCTGGGGTAGCAGTGACTGATTAATGCCTTGCAAATGTTCCAGGCAGTTCTCCATCTCACTCCCTTCCTTGCTTCCGTTTTGTCTTCTTTTTTGAGAAAAACAAAAATGATCCAGCTAAATCCTTCATGGGCCTGTTAGAGATGCACTTATTTATTTATTTGACACCCCCCCCCTTTGGGTACAATTGTTCTATTGTGAGCTGGAAAAAAAAGCAGGTGCAACATTGCAAGTTTGTTGTTTGGGTGGTGGTGGTAGGTTGGTACGTGGACATACTATTTCAGTTTATTTGCTGCAGCACAGAACTAGGTGGCTTCCTGCCCATCTCCATCAATTGGGGATTTCACCTGTGATACCTGAGTTGTTATTTTTTATTTTAAAGAGGCGGCCAAGGACACAGAGTCACTGTTGAGCAAAAGGTGTGCAGGATTGCGCTGTGAATTTTCTTAAATGTTCAGGGATTCGTATTCATGCCTCAGACCAAGTGCACGCCCCATTAATTTCTTTTAAATAAAATGCCTCTGAATCACAGTCTAATCTCCTGTATCTTTCTTTGCTTTTAACTGGAGTTGCTCATTGGGGCTCGGTGTGTCTCACTGAGTATTTGGATTGGAAAGCCAAGGCTCCTTTATACTTCCTCGCTCCTGAAACTCTTCCCATCTATCTCAGAATTCAACGTTTTCCATTTTTACCCTGATTTGAGTATGGCCTGAAAGACAATTCTGGGTATCTGCTAAAATGGGCAGTCATGCGTTTTGCAGAGGCAGTTATCTTATCTCAGATGTTCAGCACCTTTGCGGAAGTGGATCTGTTGATCTATCCAAAAGATGACTGTCTTCACTGTCTCGTTTATTTTTCTTTCCTACAAAAGCTGTAACCTCAGTCAACATGAGGTGTGGAATTGCTCCAACCTCAAGCCCTTTACATATGTTTTTCCATGTTGACGGCTACTTCCAGTGATATAAACATTTCCTGTGGTTTTTCCATTCTGTGACTCTCTTATTTCTGTTTGAAATTAATTCGGCAGAGTTACTTTGGATAGCAGATAGATATTGCATATTATGTAGAGTGCTTTATTGCCAGACTATGTTAACCAGCTTTCTGACCTGCCCATTACTAGGCTGCACTGCAATTTAGAAACTAGCTAGGGTTACACCAGAGATGCTGCAAGAACATGTCCGTGTGAACTCTCTTGACATCCCAAATTTGATTTTCTTGGTGTGAACAGGATTGTGCACTTGTTTGCTATTCTCCTTTTTAAAAACAGCTCACAAATGAGTTTTTTTTTTAAAAAATCTGAAGCTGCTGACACAACAGATTTGTAAGGAAGGCCACAGAAGGATTTTAGTGATAATGAAACTGTTTGAAACTAATTAGTTAAGTTTAAATGCTGATCACAGCTGTGTTTTCAGAGTTAAGATGCCTGACTTAAAGAAACCTACTACACGCAATAAGGAAATAGGGAACTTCAGTTATATATGTACATATCATTCTAAAGCAGTATACATCAAGACTTGCTTAGAGGCTCACTAAATCAGAACTATATTTCATATCAGAATTATTGAAATGTCTAAAACTTAGATTGCGGTCCTTGCAATTGAGCTGTCACTTTAAAGTATTTCTTAATTTTTCCCCCAACTTTCCTCTGGGACTTCTGGGTAACGTATTGCTATCTTCTAGGTATAGGTAGGACCGAGAGACAATGACTTGGCAGGTTTTCCAAAATTTTGGGAGAATTTAAGCTTGAGTCTTCCTGTTTCTAGTCAAACAGTTTAGTCAGTATATCACAGTGGGAAGATGTTCCTGGTCAACTTTGCTTGCTGTGAAGAAAACACTAAGTGTGGTTAAATTTGGTTAATGCTTAGATGGGAAATCCATGTAGGTGGGGAATTTGACAAATCCTAAAAGAAGACAGTGGTAGACTATTTCTCTCTGTCCGTCTGTGCCTTCAGATCAGTCTTGACTTCTGGTGACTCTGCACAAGTCCACAATGTTTTTGTAAGAAAACATTGATGGATTCAGGAATTCACCAGCAGTTGGGCTTGATCTACCTTCTTTTCTTTACTAGAAATGCTTGACAAATGGATGATTAGCTTTCAGGATGGAAGATGCGTGCTTCCTTGAGCCTTCTCTTTTCATCCAAGGAAGGTATCGAAAATCTGAGCATCCGACGTGGCTGCCTTCACAAAATGGCTGCCTGCGAGGAGACCATCCACACACAAGGTGGTTCTAATAGGAGGTAAGGCTGTGTAGGGATACCTCTTCCCTAAGATGCCGATCATCAAATATATTTTTTTAACTACCTGAGGTGGCCTATTTGTTTTTTTTATGAAAACATGTGGACACTCTTGTACAGACAGCTTTGTCATCCAGCAGTTTTCCATTGGGCTACGTGAAGCTAGTTGTCCTTTTTGCAAATGAAGGTTGTGAGAGGACCACTGCATTGCTGCACAGTAGACTACTTTTCTGTTTAACAGCCAACTAATAAAATAGCATCTTGCACAAAACCAGCTGCCACATCGCCATATGGTCATAGAATGGCCGACTTGATGGCATTGCATTGAATTGTGAGAAAAGTTTGGTTCACTTGCAGTAGTTCTAAGTTGTCCAGTCTTTATGTTCATTGCACTACATGCAAGTTTTTGTAAAGAAATTAGTTGATTCGGCTGTATTTTGGGGTGCAAGATGAGAGAAAAATACCTGCAGGAGCTTACATCCTTTTCTTTCTCTGCCTTTTTCCATCTTCTGTTGAAGCCTTTTCCAGCCTTGACTATTTATGAAATCTGATAATGTCTGGAAGCGTGACTTCCAGAATCCTTAGAAGCACATTATCTCTGATCTTATATACAAACGTGTTATTTATTAAGATTTTTAATGGGGTGAAAAGTAAAAGAACTTATTTTAGAGAATATTTCGGTATGAACCATCCCAGTTTTCATTGGATAGAAGTTTTACTGTTTCTTTTTAAAAATGGGCAGAATATGACTCAGTGCACTAAATTTCTCTTAATTGCTAATAGACACACCAGCAGTGGAGCCTCAATGGACAGGGGCAGTATATCTCTAATTACCTGAAGTGGAGGGTAAACATTGCTTTGTATTGCGATGCCAAAATAGCTGGTTACTTGTTTGGAGCATTCCAGCAAGACAGTTCTCATTTTTGGAATCAGCCCCAGCTCTGAAATGTCTTTTTTGTTGTTGTTGAGGTGCACATGAATAAATCAGGTACTTACTTGCCTCTCAGTTTCCTGTGATACTTGATCTTCACTTTCCTGAGTAATTAATCTTAGCTTGATCTCTGTGCAAGACAGGAGCTCAAATATTTAGCAAGTAGTCTTCTGGTCTGGCAGCCTGGCAAAATCAACCATTAATGGCTGTTCAGGTTAAAAAAAAAAGTAGATTCACTTTCTTGTTCTGTCTCTTTAAAAATCTGCCTCATGTTAGTCTGCAGCCTTATCTGTTCTTTTCTGAATTTAAATCTAAACAGATTTTAGAGGAAGCAGAATCTGTTTCTCAATAACCAGGATGGAGTCAGAATGTTTGAATTTTCTGTGAAATCTGTTTTTGCATATTCAATTGGCAAAAAGGGAGAAGAGGAACAACTGAGTTTAGCAAGTTAATTGCAATAAAATGTAGTCTAGAGAAAGTGCTGAGTGCCCCACTTTTTCCCCCCCTTCCATCTGTTCCCTCCTACCCTATCCCTTCCTCTAATAAGCCCACTACCTTTTTACAGTGTGTTCAAGAACATTTGACGTGCTTTAGCTTAATCTTTCCAAGTTCTATTAAAAAAACCCATCTGCAGGAGCAGACTAATTAATTTTCCTTGAAGTTATACATCTCAGCAGATAAAGCTGATGCTGGCTGAAATAAATTAAGTGACTCTGATTAGGATACTTTGATTAGGATGCTTTTAAATCCTTTGAAATTTGACTGGGTTTTACGTGAAATGTGACAGCATTATGAATGAGTTTAATGGCAACTGGTTTTATTAATGGTCAAGTTGAGCTCGTTTGCAATTTTCATAGCAACGGGATGAAAGCGATCTGCCATTGGCTTCCAATTTTTCCTTCCATTTTCCCACAGTCTGGAATTTTCTGCTGGTCTCTTTTTTACGAACTGGGCCTCTCCTGAATTAATTGAGAAGGTAAGACAGAGTTGGCCAGGTAATGTTGCTTGTTGAGAAAACTAAATCATGGGCTTTATAACTATGATTTACAGGCTGCAGCAGGCTGAGTTTGCCCAACATGCTAATCAATAAGATAGTCTTTATAAATCACAACTTTTACAGCAAGCTAAGCCAAAGCCCAGAAAAGCACTTTAGGCTTATGGAAAGCATGAGTCCAGCCACAAAATTCTGCCTAGTATTCAAACCCGGCTTTTTATCATCTTCCATCAAGATAAGAAAACTTTGGTTGAGCTTGTCAAGCAACAGCAAAAATAGATACATATTTTGATTTGAAAATTGCTAGGATGCCTTGCAAAACATTCCAGCTTAACTAAAGAAATGCATTAAGGGTCTTTCTCATTTGTGTGCTGTGGCCAGATAATTTTTTAAATAGTTGGCCCATCTAGTAGGTAGTGTTGCCACTCTGAATCTTGGTATTTTCTCTCCCTGGGATTGAACTAAGATAATAATTAAAAAGAAACCTGTGCAGGTGCTGATCATGAAGGCAGCTTGATTGGCTTATAGTTGTAACTTCAGAAAAATGCCAGGTTTAGAATGGACTGTTGACCCTTCCAAGAATAGAGTGAATATATACTCAGAAAGTTAATACTTTGACAGAAGTGTTCTGCAGTGAAAGTCAGTGAAATATCCCCTGTTTTTTTTCCCTCTTACCTGGAAGTAAGAAGTGGAAAGATCCAGAGTGAGAAGGTACTGACCCTTTCATGCAATTTTTCTAAATTCATTTCAGATCCAAGTGTCACGTAATGGGGTGAGCTCCC